CAGAAATAGCAAGAAAGCAAGTATGGCTGGACAGGTGTGAGAATGGGGGGGAGCAGTAAGGCATGAGGTCACAGAGGCAAGGGGGTGAGGAGACACAAGGAAGGCAAAACAAGGGCCCCAGTATTATCAAATTAATAGTAATGAATAGTAAGATAACTAACATCTATGGAGGTCTTGCCATATGCTAAGGGCAATGCCATGGAGGTTATGTGCATTATCTCCTTAATAAAGAAAAGCAACCAATTGATCTAATATGTATAGAGTTGACTTCATACTTTATACTTTGACTTTATACATAGTAGTAGTTTCAAAACTCTACTGGGGTTATCTTCTGGAATAAATTTTTTGCCTTAACATGACTAAAACCTTCACTAAATACTGCAATTAACTTAATTTCTCCACACATTTTAAAAATAAAATATAATTCCTCCTAAATGACAGAGGGATGTCTTGCTTATTTCCAAGATGTGGATTTTCATGTGGTTTCCAAGTCTGTTTCAGCACCAGCAGGTTAAAGTGTTCAACTTATGAAATGAAAAGCTACTAAGCACAGTTTAAGACTTTATTTAGACTTCAATTCCTGCTTTAACGTCACTCTTTGATTTGTTGAATGGCTCCTTTAGCATACTTCTTTTTTTATTTTTTTCAGGAAGATATGGTTATAACTTAATGTTTCTGAGTGCTACAGATGATGTCTACTAGGGCCCAAAGATGTGGTCCATACTGCTCTGCTGCGGTGTTCCCTTCTTTTCACTGCACTTTCATTTAAAAAACATCCTTACATATAGCAATGAGCACGCCAAGGGAGCTGGTCTTCTTAAACAAAATCAGTGAGTAGAAGCAATAGATGTGCCTTAATAAAGAACTTCAGTAGACTATTGCTTACTCTCAACTAATTAGGGAACAATTAGAAAATATCTCCTAAATACAAAGAGACTGTTCAGTTCAACTGAAGAAATATTTATTGAGCACCTTTGTAAGGTGCTACGAAAAAAAGGATGACAGTCCCAGTTGCTGCCTTCAGGCACTTACGGCCTACCTAGCCCAATTTCTACAGAATTGACCACAGGAGTCAATTCTGACTCCTACAGCCTACAGGGATAGGCAAATCTCAGACTTTATCTGGACACATGAAATGAGGGAACGTTTGGGGCAAATGAATATACCAATGCAGAAGGTACCAGAACAAACTGACACTTACTCTTTACAAAGCCACTAACCCCAAACAGCAGATATCATCTCATTCCATTTCTAACCAAATATAAATTCATAATGGTTTGGTTTTCTGAGGTGGTATCTCTATGGAAGTAGATTGCCCAATCTTCCTTCCTAGGAGTGGCTGGTGGGTTTGAATCGCCAGCCTTCTGGTTAGCGATCAAATAAATGCCTTAGGCACAACACCACCAGAACTCCCAATAACCTGTGTAGTGGTAACAAATCAGTTGAGTAGAGTTTTTAAAGCAATTTTCAAATATTTAGTATCTGAACCTATGCTTAAATGTTTCCTCTAAGCATAGGTTTTCTCTAAAAAAAAGTCATTTTTATTCTTCCCTACTACTTAAAACACAATGAGGCAATCTGTTCTGTAATTAATATCAATTTTCAAATCTTTTGGTCTGAATGAAGTCTTAAACTGTGCTGAGTAGATTTTCATTTCATAAGAGAGATTTAGAGATTTTTAGTTAGACAGGAACATAACATAAATTTGTCTCATGAATTAAGGGTATTTTACTCTACAAACCTTATATTAAGATGATAAGGCTATTCAAAATTTAAGTCCATGGGTTTATACAAAGAAAGTGAAAACTAACAATCAAAGGCATGTGACATTATGTAAGGTGGAAACTCATGTTGAAATAATCTCTGTAAATATCTAAATTTAGTTAAGTGGATCCTGAAGAACATGGCACAAGAGGGAGCTGGAATTAGCTCAAACTTCTGACTATCCCTAGGGCCTGGGGCCTGGCAGGCTATGAACACAGGAAGGAGTGGACATTTTTTTTTTTCTAAATTGAACAAAAGTTCCATATAGGCAAAGCAGCAGCCCTACAAAGAACCAGTATTGCTTCAAAGGGTCATCAGACACCAACTGACATAAATATTTAAAATAATTTCACTGACCAAGCTTATAAATATTTAGATTAAATTATGACATTTGTTTCTTGAAATATGACACAATGAATAAGACCTTAATATTAAATTGTCTATAACACAGATGATAGCACTTCAGCACAACCCTAACATTTTAAAAGGTTTCCACTGTCTCAAAGCTGACTAGAATCAGAATTATCTAGGGGAAATTTTTTAAAGTGTATATTCCCAGGTACTGATAGAAATTCAGATTCAAAATATGGGGCTGGGGCTTAATAAAGCTTCTAGGGAGAGCAGGAATCAGACATGTTGGAAGCCTGGAAGCACCACACTAAGCTGACTCCAAGAACAATGAAGGCAAATGCCCTCAACAGTATTTCCTTCTCAGCCAAAACAGACTATTTGATTTACTGCCTCGGAAACCCAAAGGGGGTTGCCATGAGTCAGAATCAACTTGATGACAGTGGGTTTGGTTGGTTTTGGTTCTCTTCTAAAGGACCCGTGGTAGCACAGTGGTTAAGCGCTCAGCTGCAAACTAAAAGGTCAATGGTTTGAACCCCTGCTCCCTGGGAGAAAGATGTGGCAGTCTGCTTCCATAGATTACAGCCTTGGGAACCCTATGGGCAATTCTACTCTCTCCTACAGGGCACCTGTGAGTTGGAATTGACTTGACCACAATGAGTTTTGGCCCTCTTGTTAACATGGAGAGCACTAAAATCATTTATACCTACCACTCAAATATGCCACTATATATTTCAAGACTTAAAATAGGTTTGCATGCTGAAATTTATGAAAACTTGAAAAAATAAGTGACCAAGTACTAATTAGGAAAATCACAGATGTGGGATATAGTGGAAAACAAAAAAAAAAAGAAGAAAGAAAGAAAGAAAACTTTGATTATGCCTCTTTACTTAGGAAGTATTGGTGCTGGAGTTCCTAGGTGATTTTTTTTTTCAATAAATGTCCCAAATCTAAGTTTACTTTTTGTGTGCATGACTGAATACTTACTCTTTTACTGGATCCTTTAACATCCTACGCCTCTTTGTTTCACAGAAATGCAAATGGCAATATTTTTTTCCATTGGTCAATTGCAATGCAGTCTCAAATTTGAAGCTCAGTAAGAATCTGAACAAGCCATTACACTTGTTCCCAGGAAACTGCCCTACAAAGCACCCATTAACAACTTCATTTGGAAAAATGGGTGACAGTCTTGGCCAGATTAGTACAAGGGACACACTGTTGGATTGATTCATTGATGTACAGCATTAAAGCTGCACCTTCAAACAGTGATTCAAGATGTTTTTCTAGAAATGCTTAAAACACTCATTATCAAAATTATACATATTTATTAAAATCATACATATTTACTAAAATTTTACGATATGCTTAGTATCTTGCTGCAGTGACTCCAGTAAAACAAATTTAGTTATTTTTACAAATCAGCATGAAAGTAAACTTGGGAAGTACTATCAAAATCTTGACTACCAATGTTCCAGACTGGGTATGGATACATGGCTCAGGGAAAAAAGGCCAGCATTTGGCTTAGTTCTGGTGGTTTAAACCCACCAGCCACTCCTCAGAAGGAAGGTTGGGCAATCTACTTCCGTAGTGATACTGCCTCAGAAACCCAAGGAGGGGTCACTACCAGTAGGGTCCGACCCGAGGGCACATAACAACAACAACAACAAACCTAGACAACAATGGGTGGGATTGGGTGGGGGGAGAAGGAGCTGTCAAATTTTCTGGATAGTCTTACCTCCATTCAAAAACCTCAGTTGTATAATGGGCAGAAGCAGGGGATGTGAGAAAAACAAATGAAAAAATTCCACAAAAAGCTGTCCCTTGCTGTCCAATAACGCTTCTCTATGGCCTTTGCTCTCTTTTTGTTTGAATTAAAAAGAATGAATTAACCAGGATTAATGAAGGAGAGCCACCTGTTGTTGTTAGTTGCTGTTGAGTTGGTGTCCACTCATGGTGACCCCAAATGTGCAGAGTAGAACTGCTCCATAGGGTTTTCAAGGTTCACCAGGCCTTACTTCCGACACATTTCTGGGTGGGTTTGAACCACCAACTTTTCTGCTAACACTCAAGGCTTAACCGTTTGCCCCACTCTGGGCACCAAGAATCACTTATGCTGATAAAACGATTAACTACTCAGTGGACACATGGAGAGTACACTTGTTTGTGGATTAATTAGGTCCGACTCAAAGCCAAGTACTAGGTCCAGAGAAAAACCAGTCTGGTTGGGAGTCAACTTGCTCAAATGCCTAAGAAGATTCCCAGCCACATGATTCCAACTTGGGACGTAATCAAGATTCTTGTGAGGCGGCGGCGGCGGCGGCGGCGGCACTATCTGACCGCCTGCTTCAAAGGCCGACTTCGGAAAACATTACCAACCATTCCCGCACCAGAAGACGCACATGCTAGGTAGGAGTCCAATGCCGCGTAGGAAGGAGAAGGCGACAAGGAGGGCCCGGCCGCCAAACTCAACAGTTTTGTCAAAAGGAAGCTTCAAAGAACCGCTCCCCGAGCACGACTCTTCCCTAAGGCGGCCTGGCTGGCAATTTTCGACCCCTGGGCCCTGTCAATGCTCCCGGGGTCGGCAGTCAGGAAGTCGGGAAACTCTGAGCTGGGCTGGGGCCGCCGCAGAGATAAAGTGGGGCGGCGCCAACTTAATTGTTTATTCCCGGGGAGGGGGCAGTCTGGTGGGAGAACGATTCAGAATGCAGTAACTCAGCCCCGACACGCCAGCGGGCAGAGCAAGTCCACGGCGGCCAGCCAGACGCGGCGAGGTGCAGGCGGCAAGTCCCACTTCCTCCCCGCGCGTCCCTCCAGGCCCGGCCCGCCGGCTGCCCGCCCGGGCGCCCACAATCCGGGGTCCCGCCTCCATCCCGACGCGCTCCACTCACCCAGTCCCTCCGCCTGCAGCCGGAGCGGGGCGGAGATCGCGAGCAGCAGCGTCAGGAGGCCGGGTCCGGGAGCCCCCGCCCGCGCCCGGCCGCCAGGCACCATGGCCCCGCCGCGCGCCAGCTTTGCAGGCTTGGCCTCCCCTCCGTGGGCCCCGCGCCACCGCTGCCGCAACCGGGCCGCCTCCTCAGCAGCCGAGCGAGGCGCCGGGATGGGGCGCAGCAACTGCCCCGCAAAGAATCCCATTGGGGCGGCCCTGGGCCCAGCCCGGCGGGGGCGTCTCCCGCCCCGCCCCGCCCCGAACCGGCCAGGCGCGCGCGCCAGCCCCCAGAGGAGGAAGTCGCGCTCCCCGGCTGTAGCAAAGAGGCCGGAGGCGCGTCGCTAGCAGCTCCGGGTCTTCTCTGGGTATCTGGTGCTCCCAGCGTCATTCCTTCCTTGCCTTCCTCCCGGTAACACACGTGAACCTGGGAGCCGGGACACCTGGCTGTGAGACCTGCCCCAATAGTGCGGTGCCGGGTCCTCCCCTGAGAGCCTGAGCGCTGTGGGCGCCCCATACAGGCTGCTTTCCTCCAGGGCTTTGCCAACCTGGCAGAGGGGGTCGTTCAAGAGGTATTTTCAGGGGGACTCGAAGTATTTTGATGATCGGATGATGGCAGTGACAAGACCCAATCAAGTACCTTGTTCATTCATTCATTCGTTCGTTATTTTCACCAGTGTACCTGCCAAGCGCAGTGCTAAACCCTTGTGGCATTTGCAGACGTTCAAAATAATCGGTAACGGTAAATGAAGGGTGCCGTTGGAGCACAGCCCAGGAGATCTAATCAGTGGAGGGGAGGAATTAGGCAGGGAAGGCCTCACTTAGAAAGTGGCACCTAAGCTGAGACCTTTTTATTGGGGGTGGGGGGAAGGCTTGGGGAAACGGAAGGAGAGCAAATAGGTGTGCAGAGGCACTGAGGGGGAAAAGAGCCAAAGCGGCTGGGGCATTGTGAGCAAATAGGTGCGTGGCCAGAGGTGGAAGCTGGAGTCCAGAGTACGTAGGGTTCGGAACGTGCAGGGTCTGGAATGCCCAGTAAAGGACGTTTAACTTGACCCTCAAAGCAATGAGCAGCAGCCACTGAAGGTTTCAGAGGAGTGATACATCTGATTCTCAGGGTGGAGAAAGGCTTGGGAAGAATGAAGAATTACGAGGCGATTGCTCGTAGTCAGGTAATAGATGACGATCTTATTGAACAGGGCAATAACAGTGGACAAGGACAGATTGAATATGTATTTTAAAGACCGGCGTTCAGTCTTCTGCACTCCCTTCGTGCGCTGTCGTAGCCATCACACCACTGCGCGGCGCCTGCTGTTTTTCTGGGTAACACAGTGCCACAGCTTCACTGGGGTGGGAAGAGGAGAGGTATTGGTAGGGGGGAAGGAAGCAATAGCTTTCCCAAAGCCCATCGTGGCGCATGAAGCGCTTTTTGGCTTAATTAGACTCTTTTCAAAGCTGCATTCCTTTCCTTTACTCTAAAAGCGTGTGACATTTCAAACGAAATTGTCTTTGGAGCCTTTCTTTCGCGGAGGCAGCAAAGCGTAGGCGCCCTAGTGGTGCAGTGGGTAAAGCACTCGGCTGCTAACAGAAAGGTCCACCAGCCGCTCTACCGGAGAAAGATGTGGCAGTCTGCTTCCATAAAGATCACACAGCCTTGGAAACTCTCTGGAGCAATTCTACTCTGCCCTACAGGGCCGCTGTGTGTGGGGACCCATTCACCACAGGTTTGGGTCTGAATCTCAGGTCAGCCACTGATGGAATGAAATATCCTAGGCAAAAAAAAAAAAAAAAATTCTTTCCAGGTCTCAATTATCTGGGGGACTATAATTCCTAACTCTTCCAGTTGTCCCAGGGACTAAATAAAATCTGCATGTAGCATTATGAAGTACTCAATAAATTAGTAGGTTTTATCATTATTTCTGTAAGTAAATTCACATCCAAGAAAATGTTGAATATTCTCTTCACCAAATGAGAAAAAAACTCTTTTTGAAGATATTTTGATTACACTGAATCAAATCTTATTCCAGAATTCTCTCTTTATTTCTCTTCATTCTTCCAAATAAAATGAGTTTAGCCTGGGCTGTAATCAGTTTGGCTCTGTGAGCTATGAATGAAACAAAGACAATGAAAAGCATTGTTCAACAGTGAGGAATTCACAGGGCAAAGCAAGTGGACTTCCTGGGGTTACTTCTTCCACCTCCGGTAATACCTTGATAGGAATGAAGTAGAACTGTTTTCCAGAATCTTGAGCTACATGAGGTGAGAGCTTTGATACCTAGTAGAAATGAGAAGACAAAAAGGCCACCTGGATCTTAGATCTTTCATGATGCCATTCCTTCCTTGAAAAATAAAAGAAAATCGCTAGTTAAGAAAAGCATAATGAAAGTAAACCACTTTATCAAATGTTTTTGTATATAGTAAAATAAATAAGCCTCATAGAATTGATGTACATCAATCATAAAACAACTCATTTCCATCGAGTTGATTCTGACTCATAGCCACCAGCATTGGGTTTCCAAGGCTGTAAATCTTTAGAGAAGTAGATGGATTTATCTTCCTTCTGTGGAGCAGCTGGCGGGTTTGAACTGCCACCCTTCTGGTTATCAGTCAAATGCCTTAGGCACTGTACCACCAGAGCTACTTTCAACTATATAGACTTTTATATTAAAAATGTGTACTGTTTTTATTCTTGAGAGAATTCCATTTTTATTTCTTTATAATGTATTATGGAATTTTAGAACTTGGTAGAGTTCTCAGATTCCATTAGGAAAAATTATAATTATTAGGATCCATCCACAGCATCTCTTATACTAAGATTATACAGCTGCTTATCTAGTGAAAAATTTCCACAGAAAGAAGAATCTCCCATAAGGCTGTTTCACACTTAATCCCTCCCCCACTTTCCATCCATCCATCCAGTCTTTCCTTAACTTGCATATATCTGGCAAAATTTATGCTTATATTTGCTAGCTCTTTCTTCTGTAAAAATAGGGAGCATCTATCTGGTCAGAGCCTGACATATATAAAGCATTTATTCTGTCTTGCTTAGGTAAGTTAGAATTTAAACAGAACCATAGCCCTAGTATGATTCTAAAATAGTGAGAAATCTTCAGAAAAATTGTGACTCAGTGGAGAGAGTGTAGGTTCAGTTTGAGGATCTAATCAAACTTCCTCATGAATAGTTAGTAACTCTAATTGTATAAGAAGAAGACCATCTGAGATAAAAATTTGAAACCCTTTTAAGCTTTTACTTTCTGAATGCTCTCCCTTTTCCAGTTCAATTCAATAAATACATTTTAAGCACTTTGTATATTAGAGAGTCTGTCAGCAGTCTGTCAGTTTTTTGTGCTGTGGTGACTATCTGTTACTGTGCTGCTGGGCACCATGCTACCAGTATTTCAAATACCAACAGTCTTGCTCATGTTGAACAGATTTCAGCAAAGCTCCCAGACTATGGCAGACTAGACAAAAGCCTGGTGAAGTACGTCAGAACTTTAGCCAATGAAAACCTTATGAAACACAACAGAATAGGGCTCAAAGATGTGCCCGCCGAGGTTGCAAAGGCATTCAAAATACGCAGTGGCTGCAACAACGGATCTGAGCATACCAACAACCAGGAAGAGGGCACAAGGCTGGACAATGTTTACTCAGTTTACATAGGGTTGCTATGAATTAGAGCCGAAGTGATGCAACTAACAACAATAACACATGTAAAACAGTGTGATGGAGAAACAATGAAAACAAGTACACATATCTTTATCTCAGTTATCATTTAATGACAGAAGCTCTAGAAAAATAATTATATTGTATGATAAGTGCAAAGATAGTAAGTGTAAAGGGTATTATAGAATCAAAGAAGAAGGGTAAATAACCTAGACTTTAAAAGACTCAGAGGCTTTGAGAGAAAGAAAATAAACTTTTGCCAAATGAGAAGAACTTTTAAGAAAAGCTCAGAAACAGAGAATGTGAAGTGTAATAGGTAACTGAATCTAGTTCTCACCATGGCTGAACAATAGCACTGGAGACAGGTATGTGAACCTGGAGGGGGAGTGGGAGGCAGGAACAGAATCTGAGGTTGTGGTTACCTGAGTTAGGGACTAGTTCCTAGAGCAATGGAAGCAGAGAAAGACCACACTGGCTGCAGGTGGGAATGGATAGGAAAGGAAGGCAGGAAGACCAATTAGGAGTTTGTGGCAATACTCCAGGCTAGAGATGATGACACGTAGGCCCTGGTACTCAAAGTGGGGTCCCAGGACCACCAGCAGCTTCATCACCTGGAAGCTGGTTAGAAATAAAGAATCTGTTTCCTTCAACCCCACCAGAATCCACATTTTAGAAAATCCCTAGGTAGGGATAAAGCCATGGACAGATCTCAAAAACCAAAAACCAAACCCACAGAGTTGATTCTGACTCATAGTGACCCCATTGGGTTTTTGAGGCAGTAAATCTTTACCAAAGTAGACTGCCCCATCTTCCTTCCATGGAGTGGCTGGTGGGTTTGAACCGCCAAACTTCTGATCAGCAGTCAAATGCCTAAGGCAAGATCTAGAGTTATCTAAAATTTGGAAAGAACCCATTGAGTCGTAGGATAGAGCTAGTGAGAGAGAAGAAAGATTAAATTCTGAATGAAATAGGCAAAATAGTTTACAGCAACCAAATTATTTCTTCATCTATAACTCCTTATGGACTTTTCAAAAACTTGGGTTGCTGATGCTCATCAGATAGTCATGTCCTCTAAGCAGGGCTTCTTATATGCTGTAGCTCACTGTGACCAGGTCTCATCCACTGGCCCTCTCTTTTGTAAGACCAGAATCTTAATTTTTGTCAATGTGCTTGGACTTCGGGATACTCAACTCCATGTTACTTAACCAGAGAAGTGTTGAAACCAGTATCAATGTCAATTTATTAGTTAACAGTGATAGCTATAACTTGGTTTGATGTTTTCTTCAGCCTAAAGCCAACTGTGGAGGATAGACTCTATCTGAGATTGTTGAATGAAAGTATATGGAAGAAAAAGATTACTTGAATGGTTCTAATATTTGTACAACCACCTGTCAGTTTATTGTAGTGGCTTGGATGTTGCTGTGATGCTGCATGCTATACCATCAGTATTTCAAATACCGACATGTTTACCCACAGTAGATAGGTTTCAGTAGAGCTTCCAGACTAAGGCAGACTAGGGAGACAGGC